TACAAGGGTTATAATAATCAAATAGATACCTTTAAAAACATATATTTGTTTTTTATATTGAGAAAATAATAAAATAGAAAATAATAAAAATCAAATACAATTATTTTTATATAATATTTTGTATTTTATTTTATTTTATAATTTTAATTTTAATTTTTTTTTTCATTTAGAGATGTGATTTCAATCATGATTTTGCTATTGTGATATTTATATTTTATGTAAACAATTTAACCAATGTAGTATTGTTTTTGTTAAAGTAATATTTATGATGTAATAATTTACTAAATAACTGACATTTTTAGAATAGATTTATTGTTTAATGTAACCTTAGTATTTTAACATAATATGTTTAATGTAACACAATTGTATTGTACGATGGCTTTACTTACTTTAGTAAAATTATGTTTCCATGCAATGTCAGTCTGCCTCATGATTGGGCCCCTGACCCAATATTATAACTAATATTATTTAAAGAAACAGGTGGTTAAGTGGGTGTCGCTCTGCTGTACAGTAGGTTACAAGTAAGTCACTGTAATGATAATTTTAAATTTGAACATGCGTTTTTTTTTAGCTGTGATATCCAAGAATGAAAATATTGAAAAAATATGATATTTTTGTATTTATATTATTCATTATGACACTAACAATAATTGGAATGTTCAAAATCGCCTCTATTATTCCCTAGTAAACTGATCAATCATAATCCGTTTTCAAAATAAAAATAACAATATGATGCATTTAAAAATAAATTAATTGATATTATTAGGTTTGACCGCGTGTTGGAACAAACCTATTATTTTTTATTGTTTGATTTTAGGTTTTCAAAAATTGTTTAAAACATTGTACAATTATGGCATTCGGTCACTCTTACCACGACATGTAAATCAGGATTCTGTAGAATGTTTTTTTGGTGCAGCACGTAGTGTCAGCTCAAGTAATCCATCATGCCACGCATTTGCATCAGCATATAAAACATTATTGTTGAACAATTTAATGGCATCTAATTCACCAGGCTCAAACTGTGAAGATATAGTTGAAGCAAGTCTAACATCGTATAAAAATTTAATTATTAAAGACCCTAATGACATGAATGTGGTACAAAATAATTGTTACATTACTGTCGATTTACCTGTAACCATTTTTAACGTGCCAATGGGTATTAATGTTTTACGGGAGAATGTTCATACCTATATAGCCGGATACATTTAAAAAAACTAAACAGAGACTTATTTAAAAATTGTAAAATCTGTCTTAAAAATCTTTGTGCTAACAATGTGACAACAACGCATGATCTAATAACAGCTAGAGATTATACTATTAATAGACAGTCATTAAAATACCCGTGTCAGATATTCGCTTCTTTGGTTCAACAAATAATTGAATATATAACCGGACAAATGTCTAAAATTTGTCATCATATAGATATTTGTATGACACTAAGTTTTAACATAAGGAATAATTTTAATTTTAAAGACCTTCCACTGTGCTCAAACCATAGTGGTGAAATTTTTGTTAAAAAAATTATAAATAGTATTGTTTTCTTAATGCTTAACCATTGGTGTACAGAAATAAATAGAATTTTAATAGGGAAGAAAAAAATTCACCACTTGGAATCTGATCCGATGAAACTAAAAGCAAATGTCTGGCACGCTAAACATTCTAAAAAACCAAAAAACACCCTAGGAAAATTCAACAGTGTTGCTTAATAATTATAATAATTTTAATTTTGATTTTTTGTGAAATTTATAGCATTTTAATATTTTGTATCTTATTAAAAAAATAAATTATCTACTTGTTTATACAAAATATAAATATCGTGTTTTTATTTTTTATCATCAATTATAATTTAAGAAAATATACTACATTATTTTTATGAATATAATTAATAATAATATTATAATATATTTTAATATGTAATATTTATGAAGTATCGATAATATTGATAATACAGATATCGATAATACTGATATCGATGTTGAGGTATCGATATTGGGGTACCGCATATTCGATTGTACTTCATGTTCCCAACCACACGGAGCGCTAAACGCAGTCACCATACTTTTGCATTGAGTTGGTTATCTATAAAGGTATACTTGTCTATGGTTCACTTAATTCGATTTTCGACAGCGACCGCAACGCTGTGGCGGTTACTGGTTAGTTATTGTATGTGGCGTGCCCGGTGGTTGGTACAAGTAACTACTCTGTCCCTATTACTGCCGGAGAGTTACACCCCCCTGCTGTCGACTATCACAGTACGACTAACAACAGAGTAGCGGAGATGAGGAGTACAAAACATCACTGATTAATATTCAGGAAATTGAATACGGCGAATACGATCGCGGACCACGGCGTGTGTGATTCGCCGCCCACGGTATTAGTTTATCGCGTTACCGGAAGAGCATGCGCGCCGGACGTGAATCACACAGGTTTCGCCATCTGGCGGTACATGAGTACAAACAACGTTATTAACTAAACATATTTTGTATGACCATTATTATAAAAAAATATATAATATATAATATTCAACCACAAGACAATATCTATATTTAATAAATGATATTATGAAAAAATGAACATTTTAATAAATACATCTATGAGCTATGATGAATAAGAATATTGTAGTTTAGCGAAGAAAAGAAGATTCTATTTTTTTCTTTTCAAAGTGTGTTGTATATACTTATATGATGTTTTATAAGAAAGTAAAAAAAAAGTCGACAAACTTTGATTTAAAGTTACTGGTGAAAAACTTCAAAAGGTACAGTTTTTCTGAAACTCAAATTTTTTTAAAAAAATTTTTAAAATTAAATAATTTCGAATATTAAATGTTTGTCTATACATTATTATTATCCATGTTACCTATACTTGTGGTGGTTTTGCATAACAATAAGTCCGCCGTCAAGTCGAGGGATATTTTTGATTTGCGGAGCTAGTACCAAAACAGAAAACACGCGTAGTCATTGCCCTATATTTCAAGGCTTATGGGCAAAAATAAAAGTAAGGTGAGTGTGATAACTAAGTTTTGATTTTACTTATCTATTGGCAGTAAAAAACTATACATTTTGAAAAAAAAATTGGAAGCACTAGAATATGAGTAAGAATTCTCAGTAGGTATTTTATATTAAGATTGAAAATATTATTATTATTTATTAAGGGACATAACACAACACTACAACATAACAAAATACGGAACCGCAAAATATACACTCCCAATTCCACTATAACACGCTCATCAGTACTTAAAAGTTAAAATAGTTAAAATAGTTATAAGTTATCTATAACTAATTAATTACTCATTTTAATTTGATTTATACATATATATTGAAATTTTTAGAAAAATATTATGCTTGAATTCGAAGTTAAAAAATGAAAATTCTATTCAAGAAAATTAGTGTTTATCTTTAAAAAAGTCACCTAGTAAATAGGTGAATTGTTAATAATGGATAACGTGCAATGAAAATAGGTACCTAGTACCTATCCACCGATAGGCGATGCGTAATTACATTGTTAGATACATCACATTTTGTAGTGTGTTACCACAAAAATGGAAAATCTACGCCTTAACTCTTAAAACTCACCGTTAACTGTTAAGTATATTTTTCAGTCTTTTATCAGACCTACTTTCTATGCAAAATTGCATAGATTGTAGATTTACTTAAAACAAATAAAAAAATGATACAGCACTATAGTTATATAATATATATCATATCGTTACATATATATATATACCTACTTCAGTAATCAGTAATTAACAATTAACATTATGCTTAATGAATAAATATCTATAATACTATAAACCAATACTGACCAACAAAGATGACGTTAATATAAACGGGAATAAATAAACAAAAATTAATATAACTCAAAATCATAATATTTAACTTAATATACGTATTGTGTACAATAATTGATTAAAATAACACTGAGTAACGGTAGGTAACAAGACTTTAACACACTAACTGACAGTTAATAGTTACAAATAATCAATGGATAGATACAATGAGAGATTTTATTTTATTTTTTCGCAATACCATATTATTATTTTGTAAAGTAGAGAGGATGGAAAGCGTGACAAATAATGATGAAATGTATTAAGGTCGCGTTATCGTTGAATAAGCATGCTATTAAACGGTTTTCCGATATTTTACAAAACATCATTTGATTGGGGTTTGATATAGTTTAAAAGAATACAATAATTATTGTAGTGTAACTATATTATGTATAATATATAGTTAATATATATTATATTATTGCATCTACCAATAATTTGGTGAATTTAACACTAGTCATATTAAGTGATCTTATAGGTAATAGGTACACAACAGTTTCCACGTTTAAACCCAAACACGGACGTTCATATCCCAAGAACTTGTGACCACGGACATACCATTCGGCGATACACTCAGAGAAGTCACTCTGTTCTCGTGTCCGTTCAAAGTACCTGTAAGCCAGTAAAACATATCGTATATTATTATTTATTAGTTGCATCATAATGTATAGTATATTAATATTATCATGGCTGGTTTTGAGATGCATAGAAGGTCGCACACTAATCTAAACATCAGACTTTTGAGAAACTCTAACTCGTTAAATAAAAGACACCTTTCTTGGTCTCGAATACTTCAGTATTTAGTGGTGGCCAGTATAGGCGTGTATAGAAGGGTGCAGGGTGTAGGTACTCAGTTTACTACTCCCGGTTGGCGGTAACTAGCAGGTTCTATACAGAATTCCACAATTTACTAAAAATAAATTATTTAGGCTTGAAGACGTTAATGTTATTTAAATAAACACTTGTTTTTCGAAACTTAAAATTTAAAATGAAGCCACTCACTACCCTCGTAATTACGTTTAGGTATACAGAGCATTTATGTAATTTTAAGAGTTAGAGCTCGTTAATTATCATTTACCTATAATGATTTTAATGTGCGCCTACCTATATGGCTATATTTAATATTATGGTTACCAGAAAGTTCTAAATCGTTATTATTGATCCATCTATATTTATCAATCAAATAACTTACGGCATCGTAGATAAATAGTGTTATGAACTTATGACTAATGATTTGCGAATAAAATCATACTGTAATACGCATATTTAATAGATAATAATAACACACTTACCATTGTGTTGGACTTTCATCGTGTCCCACACATGAACCGAGTTATCATCGCTACCAGCCAACAGAAACCTACCAGATACCGATAGACCACACGAAGTGAATCCTGAAGTGGAATTTGGTGGTTTGTACATAGCAATTTGTTGATCAGACCTAATATCGTATAGACGAGCGGACTTGTCCTCCGAAGCTGTAGCAAATCCGTATCCGCTGTTATGAAACTGTAACAAGACACAGGTCCATTTTTACTTTTTTTAAAATTTTTTCATAATAATTAATAGGTCATCATTTTTTTAATTATGTCTGTTAACATTATATAGGTATTATAAACTACGACGATACATACGCAAACAGAATTCACGTCAGCCTCGTGTCCGAAAAACACTTGTTTGCACTTCAGTTCCCTGCGATCCCATAATTTACAAGTCTTATCCACGCTGCCCGTCACGAACATATTTTGGTCCGGTGCCAATGATAATGACACTACGTCTCCACAGTGAGCGGCTTCGATTTCATTCGTTCTCTTACCAGCTTCTAAGTCCCACATACAACTGTATAATAAGAACACGAACAAAATTAATAACATTTACACAATAGATTAATACGTGCAATAAATAAAATAATATCCAAACAGTTAAACTTGTAATTTGAACTGATTTCTACTATATAGGGTACCTACTTTATTGTACTTAGTATGTCTACAAACATTGTAGGTATAAAATATATATACAATAGGTTTATGTAGTAAATTTATAAAAATATAAAGGTGCGTGATAGTTACAGTTTCATGTCTCCAGATCCAGTGATTAGGGTTTTATCGTCGACAAATCGACACGACGATAAAAAACCTTCGTAACCCAATAATTCGCGTATCATTTTCGCTCCTCCGTTCGAATCACGATTATTTAAGTCGTAAACAGTGCACATATTATCCATCCCTCCACAAGCTGTTCAACATACATTTTTATGTAAGAGTAAAATTTAAAAACAAAATTATGGCGTCATCGTTTTGAGTTTATTACTTTTTGTCATCATATATTGTGTTAAAAGTGATTTTAATATACTCGCCATCTAGGCCTCAACATGCGTTTTATGACCCACAGCACACCCACGACCCACCCACCAACATCCGAATAAAAATAAGTAGAGCCATCCTTCCACTTGGTATAAGTAATAACACTAATAACCAATAAGTATTAGACGCCTGGTTATTTTTTAATAAAATACATTGGTCATTGGTACACAATATTTATATACTAACCGACATAATTGCCCGTCGGTGCAAAAGCCACAGACATAACCCAGGCTGAACGTAATGGTATAACTTGTACTTTATTACCGGTCCATGTGTCCCATATGATAAGTTTTCCGTCCAGTGATCCGGAAACGGCGTGTCTGTAAAGACCATTACTACATTTAGACGAAACCACACGAGTGTTTTATTCATTATAAATTATAATTTAAATCTAGAAACTGATAGAAAGTATTTCGGATTATATTTTGGTTGTTATTTTATTTTTTATTTTACCTACTATCGCCGCTATAGTGGACCGAGTTCACTTTATTAATATGTCCTTTGAGCATTTTCTTAGTGGCCAATTTACACTTTGGCACATCAGCCATTCCATTAGATATTTCTTCAATGGTTTTGTCTTGTTTGCTTTTTTGGTCTTGCTATAATCACAGTGAGTAAATAGTGTTAAGTATTGACATTCAGAATATTTGAGCAATGAAAATTATTGAAAAAATACCATTCCAAAATATATATTTAATATAGTGGAATACCTAATAAAATATTTTTTTGAATTGACTATTTCTAAATTATAGATATTTTTCTATAATAAAGGTATTTCAAGTTGTAAAATTTTTAAAGATAATGGTACAATTTAAATTTCGTTGTATTATATAACATCATTCAGACTTACCAATATGATAACACCGGCCAAAAAAACTGAATTTGCCAAAATAAAAACAAAACAAAATCCTAATCTTAAAAAAATGTATATGGGTATAGGTAATATTTATTTATGAAAATAGTGATTTAAGACTTAGTCAATAGTTGAGAATAGTCGATTAATATTCAGTCTTATAGACAAACGAAAATTTAATTTGTATACCTATAATATAATATACAATTAATAGGCATTTAAATAAAGTAATTAGTACTACACAACTATAGTACTATACTACTATACACTTTTAAAGTTAATGACATGAGTTTTCACGTACCTTAATACCTTAAAGTAAACAAGAGGGGGAGGGTGTTTAAAATACACCACATTATAGCACGGTGTTTTCCTTCCGCTTAGGAAATGTATTATACATAATGACAACCATATCTCCTCACGACCTCATAATTCAAACCACTGCAGATATGCTGCTTTTGTTTTAATAAAATATTGTTATGTTGATAAACGACGTTGTATAGTCACTATAGTACATATAGTTGCATAATTGCACATATTGTAGGTAGGTAGGGTAGGAATAGTGTTTAAATTTATTTAATATCTGTATTTGTAGGCTAGACAAAAAAGCAGGGCTCGGAAGTTGTAGGAGCTAAAAAAGGTAAAATATGCATGCAAATATGCACGAAAAAATTGCAAAATATGCATTAAAAATGTTAAATATGCAAAAATATTATTCTGAATTCCAAAAATTAAAGACATCAGATGTTGTTTACAAATTAATCATATGCATAAAAATTATTTATAACTAAAAAAAAAGTATAACTGGTTGGCATTTTGACATCTTATATTGAGCTGAAAATAAAATTAATAATATTTTTTCAGTATTTTTTAAATTACGAAAAAATACATGTTTTCTAATATCTGTCAAGTTATTGCATTGAACCACCAATATTTTCTTAAGATTTTCTATTTCAAATGAACGACAATTATTCGATAGAAGATTTTTATATCGAGGAAACGATCTTTCAACGTTAGTTGAAACTTGAAGTCATCGGAGCATATTTATAAAATTGACCATGGCGATGACAGTATATACGTTCGTTGGTCATTTTGAGTTTTATATTCAATATTAGTTGAAATATACAGGTTAAGAAAGAAAAAAATCAATTTTTTTAGAAAAATATTAAATATGCATAATATTTGTATAAAATCAATGAAATATGCACTTTTTAGCCAAAATTGGTAAAATATGCAAAATTTTCAATTTTCAACTTTTTAACTCGTAATTGTATATTTAAAATTTCTAGCTAGGTCTGCTATAAATTGAGATCATACAGAACAATATGCAATTCCTACAACTTCCGAGCCCTACATATAAGTATGGGGTTTCAACGATTCCGCCAGACCTTTTTATACTTGGGTATAAAGCTTATCGATTCCGCCAGTGCAGGTAGTCTAAAAACGACCTATCGATTCCGCCAGGGCAAAAATAATCTTATATTAATTTATATTAAAATTCAATATTGACTTATATTGTAGATACCTATATTATTATTATTATTATTATAGAATTTTATTTATTTAACTATATTGTATTATTTTATATATATATTAATTCACATTCCATTAGTTTGGCATCCATCATACATTCATACTATAAAAATATCATTGTATAACTTAAAACTATATTTGACTAAATTAATTGTATTATTATATATATATATATATTGTATTGTATTAATTATTATACTGATTATTAATTTTATTTTTAATATTTAAATTAATTATTGAATTATTTTTTAGATATATTATTATTATTATAACAGAAATAGGTTGACATCAGTAGTTGCCAGGTCGAGGTAGAAATTGGTAGGTGGCGGAATCGATAGGTTGTTTTTAGACTACCTGAACTGGCGGAGTTGATACTGGCGGAATCAATGCTACATTGGCGGAATCGATAGGTCCCATAAGTATTCTACAGTCTGGACCCTGGAGTGATATATTTTATTACTCATCCCTTTCAGTTTTCACTATATGATCTAAACTATGAGGACCAACAATATTAAATTCATTTTCTTCCTTTTTTCTAGATTATTTAATCGTAAATTAATAAAAATAAAAATATATAGGTACCTATACGGCTATACCTATGTGCATAATGTACATTATATTATTATAATTGAAACATAAAGAACTTATTGATTTTCTTAAGGTTAGATATTGTGGGTAAATAGTTAATTGTTAATGTCAATTATATCTATATATTATAAATGTATAACCAATTTTGTATTGATAAGTACAATGTTCAAAACTTTTTACATCCTGTGGTCAGCTGTAGGCACATAGATATAGCCACAGGAACCTATAAGTTCAATTATTGCTATAACATTTAAATCTGTAATACGATTTGTATTATCTATTCTATATTTATATGGAAATAATAAAACAGTTAACAATATAGCCTGCACCTTAAAAAAATCTTCACCCGCTTCACGGTCTGACTAACATCATATATGAATAGGTACCTGCCTATAAGTATTTTTCTCATTGCTCACAATTTTGTAATGTAGGTACATTTCACGACTGCGCAATAATCAGGCGATCTGATATGGAGCAGTACTGTTAATTCCTAAAAGTTGTATTAAAATTTAAAATTTTTAGTATTTTTCGTATGTTTTAGGAATTGTCTGTACCCACAGGCCCCCTTAAAAATGGGAGAATTTTGAAAAACGGAAATAATATTTTTTTCCGAATGTGGTAGTACATTGCTTTCTAAGTACAAAATTCATAACATACACCAAAGAACTTAAAAATGAAACTTTTAATCATCATTTTTTCAAACTCTTACTTTTAGAGCACTTTTGAAACTTGAATATATTTTTTTATATTTTATTATAATGGATAACATTTTATATCAATTTACAATAGTCAATAAACTACACCATTAAAAAATTAAATAAGTATTATGTGTATTGCTTGGTATTTTTATTTTTATTTCGTACATTTTGGTTACCCAACAGTCTGACAAATGAAATTTTCGTCACGCACAGGCTGATATTTAAAAAAGTATTATAATATTATATAGATAAGTCGTTTTAATTACGACTTGCACTTCAAATCATGTAAGTTTAAATAGGTAAAACAATTATACTTTTGTTTAAAAACAATTGATTGGGCATTAAATTGTATTTTTTTGAAATTTTTCTTGTTTTTCAGTACTTACATACTGTCTTACTCGTTAGGCATGATATGAAATGTAAAATATTACCACAGAATAAATGTGTGTTTATGCTGTAGTTCAACCTTAACGACTTAATAGGCTTTAGAGTTTAGTCAATAAATATAATGTGACTTACAAATTATAATATAACAGAACTATTGAGTATATTAATTTAATTTACTGTTCGTAGTTCAAACTATGACATTAAAATTTCATTTTCACTACTCAGACAGGGCAGTCAATGACAATGTAAAAGTTTCAAAGGAAGTTTAAATATAATAGGTACACACCTATTATGTCCACTCACAAGAGGAGACTATAGACTATAGTAAAGAAAAATCATGAAGCATGACTTTACCAATGAAAACTATGTTATAATGAAGAATATATGTGGGCAGTTTATAATTCTTAAAATGAATGATAACATTATGCCCACACATATGTTGACATTCTTAAAAATCAATAGTTTCCTCTCTTGCACAATATGAAACCTTAGTACTTAAATACTTTTTAATACCCTATACCAGCAGTACTTACACATTTATGGTAGTTTGTTTTCTATATTTATTAGTAGGTTATAACTTATTGTTTTATTAACATTTTACATATATAAATTAGTTTTTTTTAAGTTTTGCAAATACAGTAACTAACATTTCACTATCTTATAGTTTGAAAAATATTTCTTAAGATGGTTAAAGTAATCATTTTTATCCTATAACTAAATATGTTTGTATTAATTTCTTAATATTATTTTTATTTATTAGGTTCCATACATATCTCATTATTATTTTACTTATAACCAGAAAAAATAAAAACATACAGTAAAATATTGATGATCAAAATTAAAAATATATTGAATATTATGCAAATTAAAATAAAATTTACTTTTATTTATAAAATTAAAACTAACATGACACAACAATATGTTTACGTATAAAAATATATATACAGTTTAACAAGTGAACATGTTTTATTACCTGACATTTGGCAATTAAATCTTCTAGTTCTTTTCTAAGAGCAATTAATTCCGGATCTTTTGGAGGCATTATATTTAACTAGTAACAATATAAAATAATGAAATGTTACGTTCACAAAAGACAAGAATACAGTGAATCATAAACAATATGTTTAATGTCATTAGTAAGTTTAAATCCAATTAGAGCAAAACAGGGCTTCCAGATGTGTGTAGTACACACATGCACACATTAGCAGCGGTTTAATGCGGCTTGTGCAACTTTTACTCTGTTTGTTAACAATTCTAATTTATTGTCACTAATGTCTTTTGAAACATTTTTAATAAGAAAATGACTTAAAAACAATGTAAGACCTTCACGGAAAAACTGTAAAGTAGGATTTTTTGATGCTTTTAGAAATATATTGGTGGTTTCTTCTTCATCAATATCTTGTAACACTTTAATCAAAGTCTGTCGAACAAAACTCACCATCAGTTTGTTCAGGCTTCCCCAGTCAACATTCTAACAAACAATAATTTATCACAAATATGTATTACTAAAAAAATTGTATTTTAATATTACTTTTAAAATTGTGATAGGGAGTGAATGATTGCGCAACATCTGTGCTAAAAATGATGCCAGAATTGGTATTTGATTTTTTTTCAAATTGTCAATTTCTTCTAAACGCACATTTATTGATTTTTTGAAAAATGCCTGAAAGAAATTTTTATAATTGATAATAACTAGATCATAACACATGTTTTCAGTAATAATTACTTGATATTTTCTATTGGATTGACACAATTGTTGTGCAACATAAGCAAAAAATGGATTATACACTTTATAAACTAATAAACAATGAATTAAAACACTGACAATTTCTTCTTGTTGAAGACCTTTCAGACCTAATCTCACAAGCTTGTTAAAAGCATCCAAATAGTCCTAGGAACAAGAATTTGAAATGAATAGTTTAATAATAACAAGATTTTTTACACTAAGAAAACATTAATACTAAGTATACCTCAGCAGTGAATAAAATGCAAAAAATATTTTTCCTTGTATCAGTATTCATCCGATATTTTTTGGCCATATCTAGTAGTTTTTTATCGTACATGTCTTTTTTCTGTAAATTGTTATTATTTTTCTGTTCATCACCCTTCCAAGCTGAACCAACAATCCACCAACGACCTTTATTATCAGCTAATGATTACAAAAAAAGTAAAATATGTGTACATTATTTTGATTGTATTGCAATGCTTTAATGTTGAGGTAAAATTAAAAAACTATACCAACCATTAAGTAAATCTTCATAGGATATAGCTAATTCTGCTGGAGTTTTATTATACTTGTAGTAAGTACGTATAACTTTTTGTACATGCTCAATGTATGTTGAGTAACATTGTTCTGAACTAGTAGGTATTTTATTTACATTATTATTTTTTATTGCTGACAGAATTTCCAACATAAATTTTACTCTAGAGCTGAAAACATAAAATATTAAATTACAATATAATTTATACAAATTACACATTATAAAAATATGAATTATAGGTGAACAAAAAAAAGAAATACTCTAATCAAAATGTCTTCTTGTACCTTATTGTTGATTCACAAGTATCTGCACTTTTTTTTTGTATGTCTAATAATAGCTTTTTGATTAATGCAGGATTATCTTTTCTAAGGTTAAATCCTATAGTTCTTAAAATACTTAGAATTAAATCAATATGCTTTTCTTCAAATTTAATAAGTAATTTATCTAAAATTTCAAAAATAAAACCACCATGGAATACCTAGAACAGTATAAAATAAATAGTATAATGTAATTGAAAAAACTCAATTGATGAAAATATAAATATCACAATTAAGCACATTATGTTTTCATTTGCCATGATTATTATTATTATAAACATACAATTTCATAATTTATTCAAAAATTAGCTGTTATATTAAATAAATAGCATATTGAATATTTAAATCTAGATTGTAGGCCAAAAAAACCAATTTTACAAAACTAACAGTTAAAATTAATGTGAAATACATATAAAACATGTGATAGAGTGTGCAAAAATAGAAACACCATACTAGGATGGCAATATCTGGTTTGTGTGGTAGAATAACATGTCACCATACATTTTGATGACACTGATATGGTAATCAACAATAATATATTGCACCTACTTAACTTAATTAATAGTAAAAACTAAATATTTTTGTTTTGAATAAATAGATACAGTAGAACGCAAATATTATCCATACATCAATCAACATACGTACAATAACAAGGTAAGTAAAAATAAGAAGTCTTTTAATAACTCATATACTCAAACTAATATGATTTATTATTGAACTCTGATTATCAGCTATTGCAGCTGCATAAGTGTATCAGTGGGTACTGTGTACGTTTATGTATGGTCAATTATCTGGATATTTGTGTATCCGGACCATCATTGACAATAATTAGTTTGGATAATCGGCGTTCTACTACACATACATTTCAATAAAGTTTGTAATCAATTAGAAATATATTTTAATTTAATATTTTGATACTAATTTTTTACTTACTTTAAAAGCATACAGACAACACAACAATAGTACAATATTATCTAATTCTTTATCTTCAACTTTTATATCATTACTTTCAATAAGTATATTCAATTTAGTTGCCAAACTTTGTAAAAAAAATGCACCTAAAAGTTAATATATAATTGAATATTATTTTTTCATTAAATATAATCAATTTAATTTAACTAAGGTCTAACTACATAGTATACTACATTCAGGAGAGACAAAAATGATAGGATACCAATAAAGTGAGTGACGAATTAATGGTATTAAATGCTTGACCTAGGTAAGAATAATTTTAATGTGAAAATAGCTTAAACATAACATATGTATTATATAGATATTGGTGTACCTACAACAATTGTGTCCAATTATTATTAACAATAATTAGGTCAAAAATATTCATACTGTGATACTAAAGGTATGAATAAAAGTATAATTTATTGAACTACTATTTTACATCGGCCACTACTTTTCTAATGTGTTTGATTTATAAAATATGATAATTTTAGTTACCGATTTCACTTCCAACATTTGTATGTAAAACTGTTAATAATGTACTACTTTCTACAATTATTCTGTATGGTGATACACATTCTGAACGTATTATAGCATCAGATATACATTTATATAGTGTTTCGTTCATATTATTTCGGCTGTTCACTTGATAGAGATCTTCAATCTGTAAATAATTAAAATGACTAATGTTGTAAAAATTAATACAAATTTCTGTATTCTACCTGTCGACTAATGCTATGCATATTAGTTTCTGCCAATCTATTTAACAGCCCTTTAACTTGTTGTCGGAGGCGTTTAAGTTGTTCAGATTCTTCATTTTGTTTTTTCCTTAAATGTGGAGGTATGTAAGTTATTGACTGTTCCTATTATTAAAACACATGGATAAATAAAAAATAATTTTGTTAATAGGGAATATTTAATTCAAGTAACTTGCCACTATAGTGCCATCAGATTTCCTTATTCTACCATAAATATCTTCTTTTGTACTTATAGTTTTTGTATCATCGTTATTATCTGATAAATCTTCATCTTCATTAGGTTCACTGTCAGAAAATTTGTCTTCTTTCTCATCATCATAATTAAATTCTTCTTCATGGTTGTAATCAAATGTATCGCCATCATCATTATCATCATTACCAAAATGTTCTTCATTGGACATACTTTCATTATCACAATCGTCATCAAGAGTTTCTTCACCAGATAAACTTTCGTCTTCAAACTCATCATTCAAAATGTCTTCATCAGATTCATTTTCATTATCATGTTCATAATTAAAAGTTTCTTCATTAGATGAGTTATCAGAACAATCAAAAGTTACTTTTTTTTTGGATTGAATTTCTGGTTCCTTCTTTTTTTTATTTTTTTTTAAAGCATTAACAGTATTATAATCATCATCAAAATTTGAATCAATATCCATCAAACTTTCTTTTAAAGATGAACAGTTCTTACGTGTCTCGGGATCACACACATCCAACAAATCTAGTTATAAGTTACTAAGGTTTATTATATTTATGAAAGCTGGAAAAATTAAGTTAAAAATAGGTACCTACATAATATTTTATCATTAAAAAAAGGATACAATCGAGTCCATCATCAATAAAAGATTTTCCAATGGTTTTCTTTTTATCTAACTTTAAATGTTTGGCCAATCTTTTGATCTCTTTATCTTCATCTTCATTAGCATGTTTCATTTGCTCACGACGACTTTTCTCAAATTGTTTTTGTAATTTAATTTCTTCAACTTTTTCTTTATTTCTATCCAATACTCGCCAGTCAGTTGTGTTTGATGTTTTTGGTAATTTTTTTTTGGCATTTACCTTTTGTACTGTAAGTTCTTTAGTTATCACTTGCTGCAAGTGTCCTTTCTTCTGTTTTTTCATTTGGCGCATGGCTTTACGTTCGGCTTTCCTCGATTTGAAAACAAACCGTTGTTCTGAGCTGGTCTTCACCGAAGATTTGGCTTTCATTTTGAGACTAACAGGTAAATATTAAATATGATTAAATACAAGCGAGAAAATTATTTTATCAAGATTATATTTAACCTAGTATTAAAACTTACATTTCGTATCACAGTATTGATGGAACCGTAAATTATACAATTATACACAATGAATATTTATTGAACTATTAAATATCTAATATTCTATGAGGTCGAATGTAACATGTCTTTATGGATCTATAGTATTTACGAATGTAAATGGAAATCATTCAGCAGTTACCACTTGCCGGTTAGGTTTGGTGTTCGCTCTAAAAATGAGATTACAATTTACAATCATTAATCGTTATCAACACTCGGACATCGTTATCAAAAATAATAGTCGAGCCACGAGGATTTTATCAAAACAAATAATTTGTACAGTACTACAGTGTTATGGCCCAGAATCTGTTCTGTGGTTATGGTCACGATTTAAGACTATAACTTTAGATATCTTAAATCGTGGTTATGGTACAGTATAAATGTATAATCCACAAACTTGAGTTGCTGAGAAGTTGCTTGAGAAGTCTGGTCCGTAGTTTAAGAAGACGCTACATTGACATTTGTTGTCTTCGTCTTACAAGTGCGTAACACTACAAATTTGATGCTCAGCAGATCACGTTTAACTCCTTGATTTTAAAAATTAGAGTGAGTTGACCTCTTATAAAATTTAAATTTACGATTATTATCCAGGGCAACTCATAGGCTTTTTATTATATTTTAATTTTAAAGTGACTTATGAACATTTAAAACTGTAAATTGTTTGTACATTTTAAAATACCTACTCATAACTTGCTCTGAAATTAAAATATAATAAAAACCTATGAGATGTCTTACCTACATAATAATTGTACCTTTAAATTTTATAAGAGGTCATTACACCCTAATTTTTAAACTAAAGGAGCTGAACGTGATCTGTTGAGCATCAAATTTGTTGTGTTACGCACTTGTAAGACGGAGACAACAAATGTCCGTTTAACGTCTTAATTTTTACGACATTATATATTCCGAACGGAGCGATGAATGTATGATTTTACCATGATGTGTATGTCTTTAATTTATTTTTATTTTTATGATTTTATTTTTTGTCTGTGTATATTGACCCACTCGATTAAATACAAGATTTCTCACACATTTTTACAATACCTGCAGTTTAAAAAATAATAAAAATACCTAGGCAAGATTTTTTTTTGTAAGTATGTTAAGTTCAAATGTTGACAAAATTTATCAAATTGAAAATTTACAAATTATTTTGTTGTTAAAAATTGATAACAAGTTCAATTTTTATAGCTAAGGATTTAAAATGTAAAGTAATGTTACTCGTAAATAGTTCATTCTGTAACTAAAAAATATAAAAAATATATAAGCACAGGTTTTTATAGTTATTTTTAGTTCAAATTTGAACGAAATTACATATTAAATCCCAAGGAAAACGATTTTAGTTATATGTTGTTGTTATTTAAAAATATTATTCGCAGGAACTTACTTCAATTGAAACTTTTAGAGTAGGTACCTGTATTGATTTTTCTACAAGAATGGATAATGGATTTATTCTACTACAGTACTACCCCTAATAGTACAACAAGTTACTTTAATTCCAATAATAATATCATCAAATATACCTATACCTACTTTATAAGAATTATAAGATCATAAATTTACAAACAGTTTTTCGTAGAGATCGTCCGAATTCAAATTTAACACATACATTACAGTGACTCTCTAGACACCTATATTTGCTTCCTACAGTAGCTCTTTAAAAATGCTAAAGTATGCAAATTATAATTTTAAACCAACTTAGTAAATAAGTCATGACTAGATGTTGTGTTTACTGTTAATTGTTATTCATTCTACATGCACCATAGGTTTTAACGTTTATGATTTTCATAACTTAAGTCTAAGGGAATAATATTAACATATTTCTTGAACAGGGCGATCGGATATCGAGACAGGTGGTCGGGGCCCGGGAGAATACTTGTCTAGTACGATAGATTTCATTCAGTCTGGGAAGTTCTAGACTGTATTATGATAAATTATAACGGATTAACTCTTTTCATTGTTTTCAGGGGCTCATGTTTACAAAATTTATATGTATTTAGGAACCTTTAGGTATACATAGAGGTATTACCTCGAATCTCAACTTAACCGAAGCGTGGTTCTGACTTTCCGAGATTGGTAGGTACATCAATATAAAATAATATACCTATGTCTATGTAACTGGCAGTATATATAGGCATCACTAGTGTAAAGTTTCTTACTGTCCTACGCGTAGCGATATAAGTCATATAACGATCACTTTTTTCTCGGTTAGTTTAAACAAATAAAACGTGGTTGATTATGTGTTCAATCGCCGTGAAGTTATAATCAACAATTTTTCACATCCTTGACAGCCCGGGGCCAAGTGTATTTGCGAAAATCAGACATAGTATAATTATCTAAACAAAATTTAAAAGTAACACACATTTTTACTTCTTTTTTTTTCACGGGGCATATTGAAGTGATAAAAGGTCATGGTGACAGTTTTTTTTGGTAGTTGTTAGGTATATAGGTACTACATAATTACCATAATATAATAAAAAATGATAATTTTAGATTCTGAGCGGATCGAGAACCTAGTTATAGTCTGTAATAAGGTAGGTATATTGGTTTTAGTTTCATAGGTTAGAAATTTGATATGGATAATGATATTTTTGAGGGATATAATATTTTGAGTATTTAAGCGAATTGCCAAATATGTGGTGACTATAGAAGGTATTGCAGTTAGCCTAATGAATATATAAGGTTAATTAACAACTAGGTTAGTCAAAAATAATAAAAAAAACTAATTATACTTAACTATATTGAAAAAAAATATATACTCAATAATTTTTTCTAGACTATTTTAAATTGAAGTTTAAACCAAAGCTATAATCGTATCTCTTATCGGTTATTAAAAAAAAAGGTTAGGTGAAATCTGGAGAATTCTTGAACTTTTGAACTGTACTGATTTTTTTGAGTAGGTAGGTGTATACTGTATATACTGCAGTGTATACACAGTAGAGTAGCCTCGATTACGAATGGTGGAGGGAGGGGCTTAAGTATAAATTAAGCAAAGGTTTTTACAGTTTTCGTATACAGATAATACATTTATAAAATGGGTATTGGTTCTGGTTTTAGTTTTCTATAACAGGTTAGAAATTTGATATGGATAATGATATTTTTGGGATATAATATTTTGCCCAAAACCCACTCCCCTCCCCCGTCTGTGCCACTGCTTATACATACTTAGTACATTAGTACATAATATGTTAATAAATCTATTTTTTATGTATTGTTTAGTTTTAGATTTTAAGACACACTGGTCACTGCTGCAGGTTGTTAACAGAATATGTACAATTTATGGTTAAATAGTAAATACTAATATAAAGCTTATTATTATTTTTTGTCATTTACAGCATACGAATATAATCTAACTTTTGAAGACAAATTATGATTAACGGAAGACAGAAGATATCTATTGTATTTTCATGTATAATTAAAGTAAGGAATTGCAGAATACTATTCCAGTATATTTTTCATGGGTACTCTCTTATATTTATTTATATAATATAAGGCAATCTGTTAAAACATTTCTGTTCATGTGATTTTCGATGTATTTTATTATTTAAAAAAATAAATAATAACCGCGAGGAGTTATGATTTTATAAACAATCATTTCGAGTACACGACCTTCGTATTGTTGTGTTTAAATGAAATATTGTACAATTGTTCAAATGAACATTACTGTATAAGAATATTTCTAACTTATGGAGATTGCAGGTATAAATACATAATAAATAATTTGTTATAAGTTATAACATTCGATTTAACACAAATGACGCACCCCTTTCACTTTATTTATTCTAATATTCTAATATACCTACCTAGTTATACCTAAGTAAATGGCAGAATAGAACAATAAGTAATCAATATTGACGTATAGAAACTAAAATCATGCAGTAGTCATGCAAATATAATAAACGTAGGGGGTTTTATTTCACAACAATAATATAATATTATGAATTATAATAATATATAAATATATTAGTACCTATCTATAATAGTACAAACTACAACAATGGTATAAAAACATATAATACCTAATATACCTTAACTTAGAATTGCTGTTGTGTGGCGTCTTCATTGCGTTATAAATTATAAAATTTGAGTTAGATCATTATTAGTTGTGACGAACAAATACGAACTATAACACTGAATAAATAAATAAAATATTAACTAATTAGTTATATTTTTGTTAATAAATTTTAAATTACCAGGAAATCTATCATTTAAGTACTTTATAAACCTAATTAAGAATCAAGACAGCCAATACATATCGGTTATCCTTAATATGTCATGATTATATAAAATATATCTTTTAAGTTATAATTTATATCATGATATAATAATCAAATGAAGTCTTTTAATTTTCTTACGTTAAATAAAATTACAATCTGCAAATAGAAGAGATTTAAAAAAATTCAGTTAATGTACAAACCCGATAGATGGCGCTTTTCTAAAAAGTTTAAAATTATTGAAAATGGTTAATAATTTGTATTCATTTTTTAATTTTTTGACCAAATGAACATTTTTTTATCGACAACAATTAATAAAAATCAATATTTGCTTATGGCTATAAATAGCTCAAAATATTTTTTTAATTTTATCGTGCACGGCAAATGCTCAGATAAATATTTGGCGACAGTTTAAAGTATCTACGGTAGCCTATGAGTTACACACAAAAATAAATAAAATTTGTCAGTCAAAATAGATTTTGCAAAATAAAATTCCCGTTTACCTCATTTTTTTTGGTTTTTCCAACTGTTTTGATAACTACTGGCAATTTTCCATTTTGACCTTCCGAAAGTACCAACTAGATTCACTTTCCCACCAGAAAAGTTTCTGAAGTTGAAAATCAAGCATTATTTTAACTAGGTACTTATCAGTTATCGTGCGTGTACACATACATTAATAAAAACGAAGATGAAAAAACACAAATCATTGTAAAATAAATATATTTATCGCTTCTCTCGGAATCTAAAATTGTTAAAATCATTAGTCATATACTATAGTATAAAATATTACATATATTATTATAAAAATTGTAGGTATATATTATGCGTGTACAACCGTTGTCGTCACAGCATGCATCAAGATGGGGACGTCGGCGAGGCAAAGTCATTATAATATTATTATATTATAATTATTATTTATTATATTATGATGATGATGGTGTTACGAGCTTGGCGACTTG